CCTCTACTGCTAACAGGGGCCAGGCTTCTCTTCTAAACCTTTCCTTGCAGTCTGTTCTTGTCATGCGTGTCAGCTCTGACTTGAGAAAGGAAGAGATCCGGAAGGTGCCAGCAGCAGTGGTTAGGTTTCTAAACATCCAGTTACATGCAAGTGGTGCAGAGGTGAAGAGGGAGTGATGGTGGACAGAGGCACTGCTGCTTGGAACAGCCACTCGTGTGACAGAACCAGAGACTTGGCTTATCCTGCAGAGCTGCAGCAAAACCTCTTATTTGGCATCCCCTGCAGCTTTTCAACAGTTTCTTGGAAAGCTCTTCATTGTATCTTTCCCTGCTTGAAGCTTAGTGTCCATCTTAAGGATTTCTAGGCTCTTTTGAACACTGGACTGACCTTGAGCGGTCTTTGACCTCTTTCTGTACAAGCTTTCTTGGGTGAGTACAGCATGAATTTGCTGTCTTGTTGATCATAGCTCATTTGGTCTCAAAATTGGTCTAGCAACTATGTCAAACTTCACTTTGTTAACATTCAAAAAAAAACCAACTCCAATTCAGCTATGCTTTTCTTGTATTTTTAATGTGAATGTTGGAGTATGGATCACTTTTCTCTGCAGTTACTCTCTTCCTGGGTTGCTTTGAGAAAATTCTTGCAGCACTTTCTCTTCCAAAGAAAATCCCAGAGTATTCAGTCCTTCTGAAAAGGCTTATTGCTAGAACTGAACTCTAGCAAAGAGTGTTTTCACAGTCAGAACTGTCATGTGGCTGTTACTGGTCGTCCCCATCCACTGTAATTGTAGCTTGTGTGCTCAGAATCATAATTGAGATTTGTCTTCCTCTGTTTATAGCTACAACACCAAACAGAAGATTTAACTCTTTGTTGTCAGGTCTTAAGACACAAATTCCTGTGGCTGCACCCATGCTCTAAATCAGTATATGTTGTTGTCTGCTGAGTGTGTACTCCACAGTTGTCTTCATGTAGCAGTTAACCTGGAGTTTTGGAGCAATGTCAATCTGGGCCACAGGCTTTTACAACTGTTTATTGAGGTTTTGAAGAATTTGATCACATAACAAAATTTTTACATGCATCTATAATCCTTTCAAAATACATCCCAGTATTAACTCTTAAAATGATTTTTGAAATAGGTTTGTTTTTTAAACTGTGCTAGTTGAGGGCCTGTCACGTGCTAGGGGTAAATGAGAGGAAACTGCAAACAGTACTTCATGTTTGTTTCTTCTTGACCTTTATCTACAGCTCATGATAACTTTTATCTGCTTTCCCTCCATCTTGCATCAAGAAGGCAAAGGCTTGCTAGATTTATTCTCACAGTTAAGAACTCTCTCAGTCTTCTGACTCACTACAAAACCACGTGAAAAATCTTTTCTGTGCTTATACACAAGAGTGTGCACACACATGAATATATGACATTGCCATTTTCTTGTGCACAGTCTACAAAGCAATCATAGATCCGAACATGCTTTTTTGTTTACATAAAAAACTTTCTCTGCTGCCTTTCCTTGTAGGACAGTGACTTGAAGCAGTACTGGATGCCTGACAGCCAGTGCAAGGAATGCTATGACTGTAGTGAGAAATTCACCACTTTCCGACGGAGGCATCACTGTCGACTCTGTGGGCAGATCTTCTGTAGTCGATGCTGCAATCAGGAAATCCCTGGAAAATTCATGGGCTATACAGGTAGGGCTTATCTGTTGAAAAGCAGAACATTCTCTGTGTGCTCAGCTCATGACTACTGTGTTTTAGATTCTGGCATCTGCTAGAGAATTCTGTACAGGTCTCTAGTGGGCTTAGAAATATGCAAAAAGAATCACAGGACTTAATTCTACCAGTTTCTTCATGCACAATGTTGGATTACGCCTGCTTATTTTTACCATTACTGTGTCCATGATGACAAAACAAATATAGCCGCTATTTAACAAGGGTGTTCCTTACAAAAAGTGTGCTCAAGTAATGCTCTTTGTAATGGTAATTTTAAAATATAATGAGCCATGTGGTCTAATTGAGGGTGAGGGAAACTCTTTCAAATACCACTTACCAAACTGAAGGCATCTGATGGAGGTGATGATTCCCAGACATCAGCTGATGTCTCATATCGGACTAGCTATTGCTGTACCATGATTCCAGTGTGCACATGTGCTATCTCCCTCTCCCCACAACTGGTTTCTCTCTTACTGATAATGTTATGCATCATTTGACTTGGAGAAATTCACTGAGTGTATAATTATCTGGCGTTCTCCTTTTTAAGGAAATAGGAGAACTAGACTTAAACACACAAAGAGGATTTGAAACAGGAAATCCTTTTTCCACCACTGTACACCTCTGATCCTGTAGAAACAGAGTAGTATTTGTTCCTGTTCACTTACACTCTCTGGTTCCCCTTTCCATAGGGGATCTCCGAGCCTGCACTTACTGCCGCAAAATAGCCTTAAGCTATGCACACTCCACAGACAGCAATTCCATTGGAGAAGACTTAAATGCTCTGTCGGATTCTGCATGTTCTGTATCAGTGCTGGATCCTGGTGAGCCACGCACACCAGTTGGGAGCCGTAAAGCTAGCCGCAACATCTTCCTGGAGGAGGATCTAACCTGGCAAAGGTAAAGTGAGTGGTTTTGTGCTGAGATGCAGAATCTTAATTGTATTTTCAGGCTCACTCCTGCCTAGACAAAAGCTGGTGGTTTCCATCTAGGAAACTTAAAAGTATGTCTCATGTAAAAAGAATCTAATCCTGTGCTTGCTTCTTATGTTCTTCTCTTTAAGTTGAAATTTGGAAATGTTGCTGTTGGAGCTTTAAATTATTTGCAGGCCTTCCTTTAACCTATTGAATCAGTGATTCTATGCCAGTGGCAGAGCAGGTCTTTAGACAAATCAAAAAAAAAACCATCCCTTTTAACCACCAATGTATCAAGAAACAAATCTGGTGCTTTACTTGTCAGGTTTTGGGTTGGGCAAGAGAATGTAAGAGATGCTGTCTGTGCAAATAGGAGAGAAATGGTGAAAGTAACCATCTGTTTTAATGGAAGTGGGATTGAAAGGACAGCTATAAATGTTCTCTTATACTTTTTTCAAAATATATTTCTTCCACTGCCCTTCAGTAAGGGGGTCTTTGTTTTTGAAAGATGAGTAAAAGAACACTGTACTCCTTCTCAAGTGGTATGCAAGTTAATTTCTGAGGACTATGATTTAACTCAATGTGGGGAAAGGAAAAAAAAAAAAAGATGGAGTGCTTCTTTTCCTAAAAACAGAAGTACAGGCAGGTATGAAACTACCAAGGAATTCTTGAGTCAGAGCCTGTCTTTTCGGTATGTCCTTTAAAAATAAAGGAGTAGGGTACTCTGTGCAAGTACAGCTACTCAGACAAGGTTGTACTGTGTACATCTTCTCACAAAGAGCATCTATCATGCTAGTAAGAAGTCTGTATCCCAGAGCACAGACAGTACAGCTGTATCAGTTAGGGTGCAGTGGCTTATCTCTCATGTTTTATCCAGTAGGGATTTATACTGGTGGTGTATGAACATTTACTGTCTGTCCTTCCTTCTGGACTGGAAGGAAAAGGAGTGCAAAGGTGATAGTGATCAGGTTAAACAATTACAGAAGGTTGTCTGGCTATCTGGGTAAAAGCTGTCTAACAATATCAATAGATATCATTTTTGCTATCGAAGCAATGCTATGTTTGAGATACAGGGGCAACGCCTTCACCTCCAAAGCATGGAATAGCAGCCTGTAAGGAAGATGTGTAAACAAAAAGGGATAGAGGGAAAGTGGGCAGGAAGGCAGGATAATGCAAGAAGTGGCAAGAGGCTGTATTACTTAAGACTTGAGTCTGAAGTGAGAAGACTTGAGCACTATCCTCCAGCTATCATTTATCTACATGTGGGGAAAGATTTCTCTGTTCCCTTGTTGATTTAATAATCGTGGGTGTGAATGAGAGGTAACATTGGAATTAACTGTATTTTAATTCCAGCTGTTTTGACACTGCTGCATGAGGCAAATCTCAGACATCTGTAATGTGCTCCTTTTTCTTGCAGCTTGATTCATCCAGACTCTTCAACTCCCACGCTGTCTGCACGCCTCGGGACTGTCCAGGAGGATGCAGGGAAGTCACCAGCTAGGAATAGGTAAACTAATCACATCTGAGTACTTTCTGTTCTGGATGCACTCCTAGCATACCTTTCACTGTAAAGTCTGTATTTTAGGGCTTGTTTTTAAAGAGCATGCTGTTTCATGTTCAAAATGGGACACCCTGTTACCCATATCCCATATGTAGTGGTAAGGAAAGGCCATTTATGTATATCTTCTAATTAGTACATATACTACTTTTGAGGAGCCTGTAGTTTGCTGTTGGATCAGTCAAAGGTGGTGATGAAAAGGACAGAAAGGGAAAGAAGTGTCTAAGAAAGGTAGAGTTCTGAGGAAGCCAAGAAAAAGGACTAACAGATGCTTGTTAATGAGAGGTAAAGACTGAGTTAATGGAGGAGCTTTTGTTTAGTTTTGTTTAGTGTAGTTTTTGTTGGTTTTGTGTGTTCCTCCCTTTTTCTCCCCCTTCCCCCTCCCCAGTCTGCTCCTTCTGCTCTTTCATTAAATATAATCTTGTTTAAGGTAGTCAGGCTTCCTTAGGCTAAAATCCTATCATAGGCCTTTATGCAAGAGTGCTGGAATGAACTTGGAAATGTTCATTGGAGCTTTAGTACAAGTTGTGAATACTTGAACCTAATCCCACTAAATAGGATGGTATTAGAAGAAGAAGTAGTTTCCACTTCACAGTGCTTCTGCTATGGTTCTGGTTACATACTTTCATTATGGTTAAATTGGGAAATAAAGTTGAGGCAAGGGTGTAAAGAACAGATTGAAGATAATCCAGATTTCAGTGTTGGAGTCAGGAAACATTCAAAGAATTCTTTGCATTGGTATTACAGGCATGCAGAATGTTTAGCAATTTGGTGGGATCTGGCAGGACCAGCAAAGACAAGGGAACTTCTGTTGAGAAGGATGTTGGGTGTGCCTTTCAGGGAGCGCATGCTTGGAGTCTTTATCTTCTGTGTGATGGTAACGGTTAAGAGGAGATCCATACTGACTGTACAAGCTGAGAACCAAAGATCTTGCCTAGGGGGAGTAAAACACTGGTGAATAAACTAGAACCAAAAATCAATTCTGGGCAAATATGGCAAGGAGTCCAGAGTTGAAAGTTCAATGCTAAATAACTGCAATGACGTCAGGAAATGCCTGAAACCTTGAGGATGCTCTCCTCCTTCCGTTTGAATGGATGTTTTCTATTTTAAAAGACCTTTGCTGTTTGCTGACGCATGCAGTAGTAGAAAGGTTCTAAGCTGGACCTGGCAAACCCAAACTGCTCATTCAAGTTAGAATTTGTGGCCTCACTATAGTAACTTACCTGTCTGGACTCATGTTTGAGAAGCAATGATGAGAAATAATCAAATTCTGAACCTGTGAAAACAACTATTTGTTTTGGGTTAAGTGATGCTACCATTTAGATTGTCTCAAAGCCACTGTAGATGTTTCTTTGAGAGAAGCTAGACCATGCCTCTTTCTAGGTGAGATGAAGCAAAAAAAGATGAAAGATTGAGTGCATTTAGTTGCAGGTAGCAGAAGTTACTTAGTAGTATTTGTTTTTCCTGTGCATGGGGTATCTGTGTTGAGTTTGTCTTGATTTTTCTCAGACCATTTAAGGGGAAAAAACCCCAGCACAACAGTCAAATGTTGCAAGTGCAGGCATTTGAATTCCTCCTTTGCAGGTCCTTCTAAAGGATAAGGACTTTTTTTCATTGCAAAACCTCCCCTCTGCTTTTAGAAAAGATAAATACTATGAAGTAATGGATGTAACTGGTGATGATAAAGACACAGACATGAAATCTGACTGTTCTGAGTCTTGCTTAATGTCCTTTTACACAAATATCCCTGCTGCTTACAGGTAGGGGCCATAGTTAAAGTGGCTGTTGTGAAACAACTGGGAGGAGTGCTTAATGATGGACTTTGATGTCAGTCTCATGTTCTGCATCAATAATGCTTTTTGTTAAGCTGCAAAACTCTGCCCATTCTAACTTTATCTTGAGAGGATCTGAACAGCAGAAAATTGTCAGAGTTTCAGCCTGCCCTGAATGCCTGACTAGGACAGAAAGTGTTTGCTTATCACCCCTAGATGTATATGGATGTAGTACCAATAGAGTTTCCTTTGATTCTGCATAAATTACTAAAAAGGACCTAACTAAACCCCTTTATCAGTCCTGTATTCTTGTTAAGAGACAGAGGAGGAAAAAGCAGTGATTTTGAGACTATTGTAGTATTAGTGCCTACTTCCTTGCAGAAAAAAAAGTTGAAAGAGGGTGGCATTGCTTTTTCATGCCTGGGCTCATCCACATCATCTGTTGTGAATTCTTTGGAATAACTAGTGTCTGTTTGCCAGTAACCAAGTTCTGTGAAGTTATCCAAGTTTCATTAAGAGACTAGAGACTGGCAACAGGTCTCGTCACTCAAACTGCTGCAAGCTTCTGGAGGCAGTTCAGCACTGGCATTTTAAGCTTCCGTCTTGCTGTTTGCAGAAGTGTTTTCTGTCCTCACTCCTCAGGGTGCTGTTAGCATTAATAGCTTGCACTGCATGGTTTTTGCTGCTGGGTTGCAGAAGTTGCACTCTTTCTTGAGAGGCTTAGTCTAATTGTGGGATATTGGAGCAGAGGGTGTCTGGAACTTCATTTGCATTTTTAGCTTTGCAATGATAATTGCAAAATGGTGTGTTTGTATTGGAGTGCATAGCCAAGATTTCCCAGCAGCTGTACTGATATGAGGTGGATGATCCGTATTGCAGTACAAGGAAGATTGCCAGGTGGAGTGACTTCCAACTTCAGCAGACAGTTTAGCCACCCTAGAGAGCAGATGCTTAAATTCCTGGACTCTGTAAGCTATCAGCTATTTCAGAGGGAGGAAGCAACTTTAAATGGGTTAAGGAGAGGGGGAATCTCATTGCCCTGTTACAGGTATCCTGGGTGTTGGCTGCCCTTGCTGGTATCTGTCTTGCCTCCAAGCTGCTGGAGTTTCTAATTACCCAGCATCCCATCCCTTCCCCAGTCTAGTCAAATGTAGACATATATGAATTGCTATGGCTAAACTTAGTTCTAACTCCTTCCTACAAAAAGCTTTACAAAAGTTTGGGTTTAACTTTGATGTTCCAAAGCACTACACTTGCATCCTAGGAATTCTTTTTCCTGTTTTGATGGGGGACAAAGCTTTAAGCAGTAAGTCTGTTCTTAGCTTTAAGTTCCTTTTTAGCATGATACGAGATCAATGCCTGTTCTGCTGGAGCACTGCACAATGAACTTTAATCCTTCTCTCTTCCACTACAGGTCGGCCAGCATCACTAACCTGTCACTGGATCGATCAGGTTCACCGATGGTTCCTGCCTATGAGACATCTGTCAGCCCCCAGGCCAGCCGCACACATGCGAAGGCAGAGACCACTGAGGATGAGCGCAAGATCCTTCTGGTACCTTAACCAGTCTTCTGTTTGTCCCGCTCTGTGAAGGCGATGAAATTTGCATTTCTTGCATCTTGCTACCTTTAAAGGCTCTTGTCTGAGCAGTCTTACCTGTACTGATCCTCCAGGTAGTGTAGGGATGGAGAATATTGGTGCTGCTTTGGGCAGTTCCATCTTCCTGAAACAAATCATAGTTTCATACGGTGTTTGCATAAAAGTGTTTACAGTTTTTGTTAGTAAAGTGTGTTATGTGGTGTGGAGTTGGTGTATGGTGGCTCCTTCTGGGTTAAACCTGTAGCACAATGACCTGATTTTGTATTTCTTCAGGTTTAGATTTTCCCTTTCATAAGCCACATGATTGAAAACTTTAAATGGCTGCGTCAAAATGGTTACACCACAATGAATAAGTTAAAGCTGTTACAGCTTATTGGGGCAAAACCTAACTTGGTCCCTCCCTCTGTTTGCAGAATAAATACCACAATTTGTGGAAGGTTGCAGTGACGTACTTGGTAAAAAAAAAACAAAACAATGTTCAACAGTGTTCTGCGTAATCCTGTTACCCCTCCCCACAGAGGCAGTGTTGTAGGTGACAGTTACTGTACAATCTTCAGTGGAAAACAGTGTTTCTTTTCTTTGAGGGAGGGGAAGTGTTTCCAACAGATGGGGCAAAAAAGATACAGGGAAGGGAAGGGAGTGTCTTTCGCGCATTAAGAGATTCAAGATTGCTCATGTTGCCATTTTGAGATCAGGAAGGCTCATTTGTGTGTTGTCAGGTATTTGCCTACTGTCCGCAGAATGCATACAAGCATTCCTGAGGGTGTAGAAAAACTAGCTCCTGTTCAGTTGCATAACTCTTTTTGTGGGTGCTCTGTAAATAGATAATCACGTGAGGGAGGAACATTAAGACACGTCTGTACACTGTCCTGCCTGTGCATGTATGTTAATGCAGGAAAAATGAAATATAAAGTGCTATGAACACAACTTGGACCAAGATGATCAAGTCCCAGTGCACTTCAGCTTCACATTGTTTAATTTTTGTCTCTTTGCTTCCTTGGGGGAGAAGAGGATTGGTAGTATTGCTTCTGTTCATGTAAGATCAGAAGATGCAGTGTCAAGTAATGTAAGATTTTCTGGGAATTCTTGTTTAATGCACTTAGCACATGGAGCTCACTCTATATCAGAAGGTAATTTAAAGCTTAATGTAGTCCATTCAGAAGACTCATGAACTTTGCTCATTAAATAAAAGCTAGAGGATGGTGTAAATGCACTGGGATAAGCAAATTTTATGTGACGCAGAGGTCAAAATCCTGGATTTGAAAGGGTTCTGCCAGTTTGTGCAGTTTAATGAGCTCAGCATGTGAGTTAAGGGTAAACTATAAGGCAGCTGAACCATGGAAACGCTGATTGCATCAAATTTTGTGATCCTATGAGGTGTTTCATTACTGATCCGTTTGACTCTATACCTGGTATGGAAGGAGAGCTGATGACATAGATTTTAGAATAACAACCAGGACAGCCATTGCTGGAAATAAAAGCAGAAAGCCAGTCCAGTAACGGAAGTGAAGGAAAACTCTTGGATTTCAGGGCACTCTTGGGAAAGTGCAGTAATGTGGGTGTAGCAGTTAACTGGAAAGCTGAAACCAGTTAAAACTTAAGCTTTCCCCTCTCCTCTCCCTACCCTTACACAAAACACCTGAGCCATTTGAGAAAGTGAGGTGCAGTGTCTCTTTTCCACCTCTTGGGGTGCTCTGTTGCTCTCAGAATAATCCCAAGTCCCAGTTTCCTCTCTGCAACAATGGGACTGTGCTGTGCCAAGATAGGGCGTATTGTGGAAAGCAAAAGGGCCCAGGTACAAAGAGACTGAGCAGTTTGGATGGAGCATAGCCTAAGCAAGAGTTGGTGTACGTGCTTAACAGGCCTGAAAATGAGTTTGAGGCTGATGTGTACCAAGTGCTGGAGGGTACTGATCCACAGAGTCAAAAATGGTTAATTGAATTGGGAGGTATAAACACCTCTTTTGCTTAGTGGCCATGCCAACAGTGTCTAAAAGAAGACTTGTTACTGAACAATACAATAAAGGGATCCCCAATAAGAAATGGTGTCCTAGAACTTGAACGTAGCAGTGTGCGTTGCTGTGTCAATTGCTCTGTATCTGGGGCTTGCTAATGGACTCGTATGCTTCACAAAGCCTAGGTTAAGAATAGATTATATAGAAAAACCCTCTTCTGGATGATGTTTTTGTTGTCTCACACTTCATTTACACACACCACCTGAGTCTGAGAATAGGGTGCAAAAGGGGAGTAGTAAGAACATAAGTATCTTCTAGGTAGTACAAAATCTTGCCACGTTAAAAAAAAACCCAAACAAACTTAACTCTGAGGGTACCGTCTTTATTTCTTCCTTGTTCTCACCTTTACATAAGAGTAAGAATACAAGGAGCTGATCTCATGTATGTTTGCTGTTTCCATTTGTACCTTCACATGCAGAAGTGTGGAGAACGGCTTAGATTTTGTCTGTGGAGGGCCCTTGATCTAGAAGCTGATCTGAGAGCCTAGGTTGATGTCCTTGAAACCAGTGATAAGCTCAGACTAGTAAGTAATTTGCACATCCTCTTGTCCAGGACTCAGTCCAACTGAAAGATCTGTGGAAGAAAATCTGCCATCACAACAGCGGGATGGAGTTTCAAGACCATCGCTACTGGCTGCGGACACATCCCAACTGCATTGTGGGAAAAGAGCTGGTCAACTGGCTCATCAGAAATGGGCACATAACCACAAGGTAACCCTGATGCTTTAAGACAGCAGATGTCATCTATCTCTGTCATGGGAGGTTCCAAGTTTTAGCTGAGAATAGTGTGCCTTAGACTGCAGAGATAGACCCCTTTGCAGGGACATGAGAAAGAAAGAAAATGTGGATATTTTCTTTGCTACCTACCAAAGCAGGTAGGGTTGTCACTCTGTGTGGTCCAAACCAACAGGGTTCAGGAGGCTGTCTGGTTTGGGAGTTGGTGGAGGAGGTAGCTTATTGGACAAGTATCACTCAGACAGTTGGAGAACAGTTAATGTGTTACAAAGACTATCCAAAAATGTTCGCTTATTCTCAAAAGGGCAAGTCTGCCCATAGGTTCAGAGATCACTAATAGTGTTTGATAGCTAAATTTTTGCTGGGGCTGGCAGGCTCTTAACCTTGTGAGTATAAAGAATCTGGTGTATTTAGCTGTGCGAGAGGGGGATAAAACAGAGATGGTACTTAAGCATAGAGCAAGTCCTCACTCAGTAGAGATGCTTAGTGTATATGTAACTCAAGCTGCCAATACTGGAGGAGCACAAACAATATGTCTTAAACATCTTTTGGACACCTTAGCTGAGTTGAGAGTACTAGCAGTCTCCTCATCCAGGTCCATACTTGAATCAGTACATTCCACTCCCTTTCCACTGTATTTTAAATAGCGTCTGGTTAATGACATACTGATGAGTCAAATAGTGCATAGCAAATGACTCTTCCCTTTTGTAGCATGCCTGTAGTATAAACTGTGTGTGTTTAGAACTAGACTTGGAAAACCATCTCTATTTTCATACTTCCAGGGTCCAAGCCATCGCAATAGGACAAGCGCTGGTTGATGGACGCTGGCTAGAATGCGTCAGTCATCATGATCAGCTCTTCAGAGATGAGTATGCTCTCTACAGACCATTGCAGGTAAAAGGAGTAGGAAAACTATGTTTTTTTCTGGGTTTGGCTGTTGACTAGAATCTTTTCTAATCCTGTTCTCAACAGGCATATCTATGAATCAGCTCTCTGGGGAACTGGCCTTTTTCCTTAGTGATTTAAAGCCTGAGGAAGCTGCATTTGCCAAGAAAACTTTGGGACTGTCCTCTATAGAGGATGTGTTATTACAGACAGTGCACTACAAAAAGTGGACGAAAGGGTCTCCTTTCCAGGCCAGTGCCTCTCATTGCAGATGTTTTCCATGGAGGCCTTGAAGTAGCATAGTCTGTGCTTGTGGCATCTTTGCCATCATGCAGAATCTAGAATCTGTGTGCAATTACTGGTGATGGAGACAATGGTGGTTGTGTTCTTCTGTTTCAAAATTGCTTCTTTAAAAACTTTCAAAGAATAGATTTTTTAGATATGCAGTATTGGATCTTCTTATATATTGTATTGGTAACCTTTTCCTGATCTCCAGTTATGGCAGTAATAAAGAATTTGGTACCACACCATGGTACAAGACTGGGAGGGGGTATTTTTCATCCCTCCCAAATAAGACTAGCTATCTGAGGGGAAGGCAGGCAACCAGTGACCAGGGATGCTATCCTACCATATTTCATTGCAATCAAACTTACTAAGGGGTAAGAGCAGTCACTGGCCTGAGCGACTGGATTATTTTTTTAACTGGAACAGGGTATCTCTGTAGTCTCTCTGTTACCTGAAAGCATTCATTTGAGACTTTCACATGTTCTGCAGCTTCTTACAATAAAGAATGGCTCAGCTGTCTGTCGCAGCTCAGTCAGAAAGCTTGCAGCCATTAGCATCTTGTCTTCCTCATGAATTTCAGCTCTTGGCCACAGTCATGTGGTGTTCCTTTGAGATTGCCTTGGGCTTCATCTGGCATCTCCGCTAGTCAACTGCACTGTCCCAGTTTGCTGGTAAAAGCTTGCCCTTAACTAGCAAGTGCTTGTGGATCCCTGTTTCTAACTGTTTGTAAGGGGCTTATGTTATTAATAGTTCAAAGCCAATCCTTGTTCTCACCAGCTGAAAGCACTGTCTGATCTCATTTCTCCTGGACAAGAGTCAGGAGACTCTTGTTGACTCGCTTGCTTGCTGATTCAGTTGGTTGTCGCACTAACTGTATCCAAAGGAATGATAGTGAGGTCTTGAGATCACAGTGGCTGATAGAAATCACTTAAATGTTCTCCAGGTTCTCTGGCACTCTAGGCAGGCTTTGCTTGGACACAGTAGCCCCTGCTGGAGTCTGAGTTGTGAGTGAAACTCTTAGAGCTACTTTGGTCAGTCACAGAATTGATTCAGTAACTTAGAATTAGCCTCCCTTAAAAGCTGCATGTGCTGGTTTCTGGGCAAAGGATACAGTCATCACCCAAATTAGCTGGGGGGATAGCAAGCATTCAAAACTGGTTAGCTGGATGTGGCGACAGAAAATGTGCAGTAGAAGAAACTTGTCCTTTAGTGCCACTTAGTTGCAGCTTGTGTGGAAGTGGGAAGGAGGCAGAGAAAGAGCACGTGGGAGGTGTAAAGAAGTACTTGGTTTCTGTTCCAGAGAGCTCCTAATTCATGCTAAGTGGGGTGGCTGTATGACTAACTTGGCTCAGCCCACTAAGAGTACCCTCTGACTTTAAAAATGATCTGCATTTGTAGCAGGCTGTTTTTTTT